TGCTCACAGGGCAGCATTGAGCCTTACCTTCGGTAAGAGCTGAGCACCCTCGCTCCTGTCCATCGGTGATCTCACCTGGCATAAGCAGAATTGCTCTACAGTAATGAAAATCCCTTTTCTCCAGTCACGATCAGTGATCCCTCCATGCCAGTTCTCTTCCTGAGAAGGAGAATTTTAAAAGATTCTGGTCATTTATTTGTAGATCTCAAAAGGAAACAATGGAATATTGATTCCAGTATCTGGATCAACAGAGTTGGCTGGGTATTCCTTATGTGCGGTGCTTAAAACTAGGACATTCGTATGCTAATAGGACTCCGGAGGAATTACACGTATTTGACTTGTGTGGATACAGTCATCTTAAAACCTTGCCTCTGATGCTGAGATGCTGTAGACAAGTTTGGTAAAGTTTGTGCTTCTTTGGAAGATTAATTTCTCATTGTCTGAATCCCAGAGAAATGAGATGAAAACTCTTTTAAGGCCTGTACTCAGAGAAGTTATGCATCAAGAAGCACTGGCAGATTTCTTCTGCTTTCTGACACAGCTGCGAAACTCTTGCAACTGCTACTGTAAGTGCCTGCACCATACAGTGCTCCGATCCATCAAAAAATGGGACAGATCTACAAGAAAAGACTACAGTTATTCTGAAGTTTGCTTCAGTGGTAAACAAAATCTCCCACAGAGCTGTGAACTGAAGTAGTTCTGAGCACCTCGGTGCTAGGGCGGTGGTTAGCGGCTTGGTACTTGGCAGAGTGAAAGCTCAGTTCCTCCGGCAGTCCTGGCGCTGACTGCTCTAACTGGCATTGTGCTTCTCAGTTTTATTTCTTTTGCCTCAAGTGAAGAAGCGTTTTGAAGCTGTAGTTGTTTTCCTATACAAGGCAGGCATATGAATACCTCACTTAAATTAATAACTGCTTCAAAATGTTAACAGGTTTTACACTCCAATGAGTTGATTCAACCAGAAGTTATTGTAGAATAAAACATGATTTATATAGTGACTTGAGAATGTTTAATTATGTATGATTTTCCTTTTTTTTTTTTTTTTTTTTTTTTGCCACAGGATTAAGACACTGTAGTAAAATTGAACGACTACTATTTAGAGTAACTCAGAAGTATCAAGTTTTTCTATGCTAAAATCAGATTTTTTTTTCTAATGAAGAAATTGAGTTGTAGATGAGGTTGTTTTTCTCTTTACACAACTGTGTGGGGAAACGCAAGGACTCCTTTGAAACACCAGCCTCCTCTGCAGAGAAATATTTGGACTGAACTAGGAAGAATTTTAGTTCTATGTTGTGAATTTGCATGTAGTTTGTTATTTCCCCCAGTAACAAAATTGTTTTTTCTCCATCATCATAAACTACAAGCTGAAAATCTACACGAACAGATGAATGATTGACATACCTACTGAAAACAGAGGTTTCAGTATGGAGGAATTCTGAAGCATAGCAGGAAAGAAGCAGGCATCATAGATCACTCTAGCTGACTGCAGTGAGAGTGAATTCCATAACAAAACTTACATTGGAAATGTTTTGTATGAAGAACTGTCAATTCCACATTTTAATGTTCTATCATTTTCAAAAGTAAAATAATCAAAGCAGTCATTAATGCTTTTATGGAAACTGAAATTATGAACAAGGTACATTATATATTACGCAAAGATGCTGTATTGTTTGCAACTTCTTGCGCATTTTTAAAATAGAAAAGATTGAATTATTATTTTCACAGCTTTGCTAGTCACAGACATGGTCCCTCCATCAGATTCCAAACACTAAGAGACAGCTCCCTCCTCTGGAGCACGTTACACTTGCATTGCAAACATAGTCCCGTGGAATCTTGGAGAAATTAGTGAATTCACACACCTGTTTTAAAGGTCCTTTGACCTACAGACAAAACAAGGGGATTTTTGAATTGACTGAATACAGAAATAAAGACGTGGGTCTCTGTACTGATGCCATACAGAACCTCTTCTGTGTAATGGCTCTGTAGGAACCATTTCTGTGATTGCTCTTGCCATCATTGTCTTCCGCAGGCACTCCTGTGGAATGACCAATTTTCCTGTATATGATTACAGAGTACATTTGAAATGTTTCAGAGTTGTTATAGATTGGTTTAAACTTCTGTAAAACAAAGAGCTTTAATTTCAGTAGATTTGCAACCAAAAAACAAGCTTATTTTCCAGCCCAAACCAAAACATGTTTTGGGAATTCAAACATTCTCAGTGGGAGGAACTGCATTTTGCTCACTGAACAGGTGCTTCTGGAGGTGGATCCCACAGGAAAAGATAAAGAAAAAATATAAGGTGGTATAATCTCTGTGAATGACTTCTGAACAGGCAGACATTCTGATTTATTGATTCTAGCACCACTGGAAATAAATAGAACTGAAATATGTCCCTGTGAACAGAAATGCATCAGAGGAGCTTTTCTTCATTACTACTTTTTTCCGTCATGGAACTAGCATACCAGATTTTGTCTAGTTTCTTGCATGAAAAAGAAAATGTGACTATAGGATACATTAATTGCACTACTGAATTACCCCTATTTTTAAAACTTGATCACCACAAAAAGATGCATATTTTATTGCCAGAACAGATGCATGCAAATTTTTATTTGAAAGATTTAATACTTTGTAATTTATTTAGTGGCTAACAGAGCAATTTAAGGAAATAATTAGTCCCAAAAGCAATGGAATTTAAGAAGCCTGATTCAAATTCGAATGAAATTGGTCTACAGGATCAGAAATGACTAGAAGGCAGCCGACAGACATACCTTCTTTCAACCAGCCAGAGATCACAGTCTTTCTTGCACATCTTATATTCCTCAAGAAGCAGAGATTGAAAAAAAACACTTTGGATTGGAACACTATCTGAAATCTTGAGCAGTGCACCAACGGCTTAAAAATTATCATTTAAGATGACTGCATAATATAAATTTTAGGTTATAAACAAGTTATAACCCACAAATACCTGATCATTTCTACATCTGTGAGGTCTGATCCACCACACAGCTACCCTGGTACCAATACAGCCTCCTTTGCCAAGGGCTCACTGGATCCAGAGCACTTTTATTGCATGAACAGCTTTGCCAATATAAAACCATCCAAACGCAGAAGTAGCCAATCAGTCCATTTTATAGATTTTCTCTGCCATATATCATGTGTAACATAAAACAGGAAATGAGATGTTTAAAATTAAAAAAAATATCCTAATTTTCAGCACTTTCTCTAATGAAATAACACTATTCGATACAAAAACAAACAAGCAATGCTTCTGTTTCACTTCAACTAGAAACCAGAAGTATTTTCTAGAATTGAGGTAAGGTTTTATTTCGTTTTTTTTTAAAATATTTTTTTTTCTATCTCCTCTGGCTTATTATTTTATCAGCATGTGTCTGCTTATTCATTTCCTGGGGGGGAAAAAAACAATAATCAATGCCTGCTGGCATATGCTTTTCATTTAATTAGGAGGAGAAAGAACCACCTAGGGCATCAAATCCAATCTCCAATTAAACACTCTTCAAAAATATTGATTAATCAGATGCATAAATATGACAGGTTTTATAACACGATACTCCTCTACAGAGATCGTAAATGATCTTCCACTTTAACTCTTGGATAGTATTTTTTTTATACTTCTCAAAGCACTTTTTAATATTCAGTACCTACCTGTTCTGGCTAAGACAAAACACCTGTCACAGGACAAAGCTCTGCTCATATCGACCAGCTGACATGGTGAAATTGTTAGCTCTAGCAAGTTCAGTTGCCATTACCTAAGAATTTAAAACACAGTTATTTCACATAAAAAAAAGTAATAAAAAAAATAAATACTAAGGAGAAAATTGAAGTGAAAAGATGCATCACACTAATAGTTGTAAGTTTGATATTTAGGCTACGCGCAAAACCTGATTCCTTTGCTGATAAACAGTTTTAATATAGAGGGACTATTAATTCCAATATAAAGAGCTCTCTATATAGAAATTGGATTTTCAGTAATTTTATGACATCTTTACAGTGTTTGGGTTGGAAATTAGCAGCACATGATCTATAAAAACTAGAGTATCTTTGTGTGTATTTTTCGTACTTTGTGTGCCACAGTTGAGGAAAGTGGTCATATCTAAAAAGTTCAGAAAAATTGATTGAATGCCAATAAACCCATCAGCGTGTTCACTGTTATTATGTGTACTCCTGACTATAAAAGATGCTCCTGCATTTGGGAATACATCTTTTAAACACAGTTAAAATCATATTGACTAAAGGGTAATACATTTATGCTTTCAATTTAAAGTGCATGCAATTGATTTTACTGTGTTAGATGGAATACATTAAATTAACAGGTACATTACCTACGTCAAACTTGGAGAGGTACCAGAGAAACCCAGTTCCCTTAAGGCAGTGTCACTGACTTTACTCCTTCTGCTCCATGAGGCCAGCAGGACCTCAGCCCCTCAGGCCTATAGAATCACAGAACTGTTAAGGCTGGAAAAGCCCTCTAAGATTGTCTGGTCCACCCATCATCATACCACCAGTATCACCCACTAAACCATGTCCCCAAGCACCACATCCAACCTTTCCTCGAACACCCCCAGGGATGGTGACTCCACCACCTCCCTGGGCAACGCGTCCCAACACCTGACTGCTCTTTCTGAGCAGAAATGTCTCCTCGTTTCCAACCTGAACCTCCCCTCGCACAACTTGAGGCCATTCCCTCTAGTGATTTGTGGAAGAACTCTACAACTCAAAAGCAAAATGAGTTATAAAGCAGGTATGTTGTTTATTTCAGTGCCGGGCGTATGCAGCATAACTCCCAAAGCTATAAATAACTTTATATACGCAGGATATATGTATTTACATATAACTTTGTAACTCTGTCTCTATATGTATATGTATTTTTATAACTAATTTTGCCCCGCTCCTCCCCTCCCTTTCCCCTCAGCCTTTTGGCGCCAAAAGCGGCGCTGCAGCCCCCGCGCATGCGCCCTGCCCCGCGGCCGCTCTCCTCAGCGGCGGGGTCTCGCGAGATCGGCGGCTCTCGCGGTGCCTCCCCTCAGCGGGGACTGCGCTGAGGCACTGAGGCGCCGCGCTCTTCTTTTCAAACGCTGTGGTGGTTCTTGCCGGAGGAGACCAAAACCCTTCGTTTTTGGCCATGATCGACCCCTTGGAGAACAACCTGTTCGATCTCCCCGACTACGAGAACACAGAAGACGAAAGGTTCCCGCCCCTCCCGCCCCCTGCCTCCCCGGGGGCGGCCGGGGCTGACTGGGCTGAGGCTGGTGGAGGTAGGAGGGCGCCGGGAGCCTCCGGGGTTGAAACGGGGGTTGTACTGGAGCTTGCTGCATAGAAATAGCCTTGTATGGCTTTAAAAAAAAGCAGTCAATTCAAATTGAAGTCGTGCTTGATTCTGTGGATTCGTGCTTGCGGGAAAAGTTCATTTTTGTAGGTTCTGTGGAAGCGAACACACGCGCGAGAATGTTGAGTGTAGCATTCCTGCTAGGAATTTGGTAGTTCTTGTAGAACGTCTGACCTGGAAAACTTCCAAGGCACTTCAGGACAGTAAAGCAAATTATTTGTGTTTGAGAAAATCTTAGTGCAATCCAGTGGACTGAACGAGCTAATAGAAAGTATAAAGGCTTTATTTTTGCTATTATTTATAGTCAATTATGAGTAAAAGTAACGTTAAGTATGTGTTTCCTTTCACTAGAAAGGATCAGTTTTGGATGGCTACAATTCTTTGATGTATAAAAAGTTCTAACTCATGAGTTCCTGATGCTCAGAGAATCAAAATGTTAAGCAAGAAATCAGTGTAATAAATAATTATTCATTCTGAGATGTGATGGACAGCGGTACCTTGTCTGTTGCAGTCAAGTTAGCTCTAATCAAAAAAAACATTAACTTTGGTTCTTAAAATGAACGCAGTCAGGTGCCTACGTAACCTCTTTACTCTGTTTTTGAAGGCTGTACTAGAATTTTGGCTCTCTCAGATTTCAGTGGAAACTTTGGGAAAGATTATTTATGTTTACTGATGTTTTGATTTTTTTTTTTCAAGTTTCAGAATTGGCAGAATCTACTCTTGGTACACTTTTCACCAGAAATAAAGTATAAAAGTTCTAAAATAAGGTTGGCTGAAAGAGAAAAGTTTTGCTAGAAAAGTTTATTCAGAATAGTAAGGTATCTATTTTCTTACTAGACTTGCATGAGAAGGTAGATGAAATATTGCACTCAAATGCTTGTGACTTGCCCTTCAAATAGGGTAGAAACTTAAATTTTATGTAATGTAATTCCAGTTGTTGCTATTTGTGCTGTGTACTTACAGTATGTTATTTTCTTTGTTAGAACCAGATGGAAACCAGCAGTCGCAGACGAAGGATTCTTCTGTAGCTCCACGGAAAGCAGTTAAAAGATCAATACCTAAATTAGATGCTCAAAGGTATTATTGCATAATGTTTCTTTGAATTTGGTATATGTCTGTGGCATAATAACTGAAAGTTACAGTAATATCTGCTTGGTCATAGCCAAGTCAAATATCAAGGAGTTTAGAGATGAAAGTGCTTGTGTGCTGTATCTCAACCTTTTATTTGTTGCTTACCTCTGTAATGCTGTTGTTAGTCTTAACTTTCTTGAAGTCTCCTTGGGACTTAGTACGTGACTAATAATTTTGTTAATAGATATTAATTACTCATGCATAAGACTCTTCCAGCGTAGTATTGTGGTTTTCTTTAATTTATTTCAAGTGTGTTTCAAAATAAATTCTCAGTTAAACAGTGTTAAATTCTCAGTAAAAGAGTGTTAAAGTATGCTTAACACTCATCTTACTTACAAACTAGGTAAACTCCATGTAAAGGATTTCAGTATTTTCCTTGCTTTTATCACCAAAACTGCTCTAAGTTCCTTCTTAGCGATAGGAAAACATCTGAGCTTTCCAATTTCTTTCATTTTAAAGATACTGATGAAGTTATTTGGTGATACCACAGGTGGATGCTTTGATCATCTGTCTAACAAGCTTTATTTGGGCAATATGGATATCAGAACTGACCGTTCCATTTTCTTGCCATGTACTCAAAATCAAAAAGCAGCTTGGACTAGGAGTATAGGTATTATGAATTTTGAAAAAAGTCTCATGTCTTACAGCGGTCTTTACTGTATTTCCTTTGTTTTCTTAATGGCTTCTAATTCTGCATCTCTCAAATAGAGCTCTGTAGCTTTAGGCAATGTAAGGGAATGTGGATTTTTTTTGTTTTTATAACAAAAGAAGGTTGGTTTTCAAATAACTTCACCTGTTACAGGTTAGTTTCAGAAAGAGGACTTCCTGCCTTAAGACACATGTTTGACAACGTAAAGTTCAAGGGTAAGGGGCATGAGGTAAGACATAATGAACTTTTCAGTTATTTTCTGGAAGATTAGTTTAAATTGATAGATTTATTGCCTCTCTGTGGGGAGGATTGATACCAATCTCTGGTTAGCCAGTTATGTGCAAGGGGGCTTGCTAACAGTATTTGTATGTACCCTGCCTGGATTTTTAGTTAGAAGCTTAAAAAAACCATACAAGACTACTTAACAAAAGAAATGTTTTGATATCAAAGCTTTTTGCCTCTCCTTCAAAGCTAGAGTACCATGTCTCTGACTTTGTGCTTTGTCTATAGAAAGAGATTTTGGGAACTGGAACAGGTTTATAAGACTTGTTAATATATCTGGAATGTCTTACCTTTTTGTTTCATGATTAATTCCCTCTGTAAGTGACAGTCTCCTGGCTGTTGTGACACTTGCATCCCAAAGTTTTTGATATTAAAAGTGTATGACGTAGCAGTATGTTCTCTACAAACTACTTTATTGCCTTGGATGTGCTTAGCATACAGACAGACATTTGCTGGCACACTTGCAAGAATGCCATTGTATCTCTGGTTTACAGAGAACACGTACAGTATAAAATTTTCTTCTTACAACTGCAGGTACAGAGAAGCTGAATAATACTTTTAATCTGAGCAAAAATCTTTATCAGATAAGGTTATTTAGGTGTATGTCTTTCTGTGTGTTCTAAATATCAAAATAAATACCAGCTGTGCCCCATAAATATTACTTCTTTAGACTGAGATCACACCTAAGTTGCTGACGGGCAACTTTTCAGAAGCTATCAAGTGTTTCACAATATATGCAAATGCTTTCCCTGAGCTCTTATTGTTTTTCTCATAGCTTGAAATTGCACTCACAGACTTCATTATGGGAGGAATGATTACCCAAGCATTGATATTACTTACATTTTCAAGAGACTTTCAAGCTGCAGGTGCTTAATCTTTTTAGAAACATTACTATCATGTTTACTTCTGCAGTCTGCTGACTTAACTTCTAACAGCTGGATATCTTGTTTTATGTTTAAGGCAGAGGACTTGAAGACGCTTATACGACATATGGAACATTGGGCTCATAGATTATTTCCAAAACTGCAATTTGATGATTTTATTGACAAAGTGGAGTCTCTGGGAAGCAAAAAGGAAGTTCAGGCATGTATTGTTCCTGTCAGTTTGTCTTCATGCAATGTGCAGTAGTGTAAGGAACAGGTTTAGAACAATTATACGGCAAAAGATGTAAGTTATACATGCTGCTTAGGTGTATAATGTTATTTTATCTCATTCTAAAAAGTTATTTCCAGTATTTGAAGTATTTAAGGCATCTGGCATTTAGATATAGCCTTTATTTAATGATTCAGAGAATCTGCTTCAACTTTTACATGGCATCTATGCCAAAGCGATTTGCTGAAGAGTTCTGGAACTCTTTTTACATTTGAATCTGCAAAAGAAGACTTAGGAAGAATGCTGCTTCGTTTGGCTGAGGGACAGATTAAAGGCTAGGAAAACAATCCACAGCATTCAGTTCAAGTTGAGGGTCAGACACATAATGAAGGGAATATTATTTTAGAGTAATAAAATGTAAAGAGAAATTGCAAATACTATTAAAAACATACCAACATAACATGAAAGATTTTGTCACAGGTGAAATGCTTATTTCTCTTGTTTTGCAGACATGCCTAAAACGGATTAGACTTGATCTTCCTATTTTATCTGAAGACTTCACAGGTAATGAAGGTATGCTTGTTACACTCTTAGTTCAGTGGTTTAAAAATTTTTCTTCCCCTCTTACCAACTAGAAATCAATGCCCATGATACATTTTTATGTTTTAGAAGAAATTGTTGAGTGGTCCTCTGTATTAAAACCAGGCTTCTGGGGAGGGGGGAAAAAACAAACAAGTTTCTGTGAGACTCAGATCTACAAAACTGAACTGGTACTCAGACTGAAGTTCTTTCTGTATATATTTAAAAGTGCATGGCACAGAGGAAGGAAATGAAAAGTGGGTATTAGCACTGGTGGTGTTAGCAACGTTTTTGGGAAAAAAAAAATCATTGTCTTTCTACCAGTTCTTACGGTGAAGTCAGGATGTTGAGTCTTCTATAGGGGAAGTACTTACCAATACCTGTGGGCACTGGTGCGTGTGTCAGTCTTGCTGTGTGCCTACTGTTGAGTGTTTCCTCTGATATCAAAATCTATCCACTTAACAAGTAAATATTTCAGGAGTCTCTTCTACTCAGATAGTATTTTTAGATAACTCAGAAACAAACAGGCTCTCTTTTTAAAAAGAGGGAGCAGAGGTCACCTAGTTGTTTGAAAGAAACTTCATTATCAGAAATGAGAGAATTTTGTAGCCCTTCCTAAGGTCTGTTGCAGAGTTTTTTGCTTTTACTCTAATAAGTAAAAGCTGATTGTTCTTGAGACAATTATCTACCCATTTGTCTAGTTTGTGTTCACACCTGGGCAATGAGTTACCCAATGCTACAGCCTTGCCCTACTTGTGGGTAAAACCTTGGGGGTGGTTAATGCCCTGTGGCTGTCTTTGCTGTTGACTGCATTTGCTGGAAACGGAATGCAGCCTGTAAGCAGCCACAAACAGTGAAGTAAATGGTTCCTGCCGACAGTATCTGTAGAGTTATCAGATTTTCTGTGCGATGGTTCCATACATCCGTATTTCAGTGCAGTGCTGGTGAGGTCTTGAACCGTGTTAGCCAGTGTACTGCTACAGCCATCAGTCCTCATTTGACAAACTTGAGTGGGTGTCTAGCATTTTGAAATAAAAACTCAATCTAGGGTATAGTATTAAAAAAAACCCTTGTCAAGTACCTTCTCTGTTCATGGGCTTCGAGTACTGCGGAGGCACAAGCATACTTGGCCTCAGGCACTCTTTCAAAAGAGTGCTCTGCCTTCTCTGTTTGTGGGTGAAGTTCTGTGACAGAATTGGACTGCCTCCATTTTGCATGTAGCAAATGAGTAAATATTCTGTAATAGTAGCACAGCGAACTCGAAACTATTTAGTGTCTGTGTTGAATCTGTCTGATTCCTGGAACTACCCTTTCCTCTTTCCAAAGGGATAGGAAGAAAAGTATCTGGTCTTTTGGTAAGAACAGCTTGAACTCACTGTCCCTTCAACCGTCAAGCACGGCTTACAATTGCTAACTTAGTACCCAGAGCTGTACTTCCCTTAAACTTGGGTATTTATTACCAAAGTGTGTCTGGGTTCTTCTGATTTGTTTCCTATTTTGAGTATCAGGAATAGGGACCTGGACAGATGACTGCAAGTTAAAAACTAAATCACGAAATGATCTTCAGCTTTCATAATGATTCTAAAATGTAGAACATAATCAGAAACTATTTAAAACTCTTTGACAGATATTGAGCAGCAGAATCCTCTCCATGTTCAAAATGCTGCTTTCTGCCCCTCCTCACCCTTTTACTCCTTCAATCTTTATCCCAGATGGTGGAGGTGAAAGCAATGGACTGGATACAGCCAATGAGGAAGCGTATCCATGCTCTGGGAACGTAGAATTGGATACTCTGCCTAGTACAACTCTGACAGAAGAGCAACAACAGCGGATCAAGAGGAACAGGCAGCTGGCCTTGGAACGTAGGCAAGCAAAGATGCAGTGCAACAGCCAGTCGCAACACAACGGTAAGAATTCTGACTGAAGTGTTAAGCCAATAAGCTTAGACAACTGAGCTCCTGAGTCAGGAGCCGTGATTCGAGTGACAAACTACAGTTACTATGTGCACAGCACCAGCACTTTCTCACTGTGGGCCACCGTGTTTTTCATTTAACAGAGCTCTCTCCTAGTTACCCAGAAGAGGAAGAGTTTAATACCCCAATTGCTCAGGGCCTGGCTGATGTCACAGAAGATCTTCAAGTTGCTGTTACAGGAAGCAGAGGACAGAGATACAGAACTGGACAGTGCCAGTGAAAAGCAGAGACCTTTTCCCAGCCCTTGAGCGACTTTCTTAGAACTGGTGGGGTGCTTCGGTTAAGTACTACCCTTTTTATTGAAAAGCTGCTGGCTCTTCACACTCCGACTCCAGAAGTGCAGGGAAGCCCTAACTGTGATGCCTGTGTGGCTGGGCAGAACTGATTTCTTCACACTGCCAATGAATTGCTCCATATGCTGGCAAACAGGGCACCATCCTTCATCTGCATGTGGGACTTCTGTTATTGTTCACTGATGTTATTTAGGAAGTGTTAATGAGTTTTCTGGCCTACTCTGTCCTGTTCTTACAGTTGATATCCAACTGAATGAACAGGGATGTTGAGAGGTTAAGTTTGTATTCAGGTTTTTAATGGAAGATCTATAACAGGAGTGTTAAGTCTGGACAGGCACCCTGGATTTTTTTTTTAACTCCCTTATCAAGTACCTCTATCTTGTTCTTACACAACAGAAGCGATTAAATTTGAAAGTCAAACCTGAAATTCTTGTTATGAGGCTGTTACACTACGGGCACTGAAAACTTCCCCCTCCCTGGTGCAAGTCAAACATCCTTAGACAAGTACATCTTAGAGGACCATAGTTTGATAAATTAGCTGTATTTCTTCATCTAGTCCTCTACCTTGAAGCTGTTTCATGTTCCTTTTACAATACTCTTTTTCCATCTTACACAATAGCACCAGCCCTAAACTAACCTTTCGGTAGAATGAACATGAAACTAGTCCAAAGTTACCAGCATTGTGGTAAAGCTCTGGGATTGCCCTCCAGTAGCTTAGGGTAGGCCTGTTCATAACAAACTGAATTTCTGGAAGTTGAATTAAGACACGAACTGAAGTTAGGACAAGAACAGCCTTTACAGCAGGTGGAACAGGTTCATGTCAACAGCTGTTACTTTATGCTGGCTGGAGAACTGCAATTAAAGTCTCTTGATTAGCGTGACTGAGGGTGCTGTTTGTATGCTCGTAGTTATGAGTTAAACTTGCTAAACTGTGTTGGAGGGGAATTAACACCTCTAGTAAGTAGAAAGACATCAGGGAAATAATTAAGTTTTAAGAAATTAGTTTATGAAGAACAAGGACAAGTAACTTTTTTTGAATGGCAGCTGAAAGAATGTACTACAGTCTTAAATCTAGAAGATTTATCATGTATAAAATCTTTTTAAAAGTCACATGTATTCCTAATAAAAATAACTCTTACTTAAAATAGACATTTAGTTTACCTTAAAACAACTCAAATATTTAAATATTGTTTGGTTTTTTTTTTTAGAAACTTAATTGTACAAATTGAATGTGAGTAGAACATCAACAAGCATATGTTAGGTTACAGTTCAAGTTCTGATATCAGCTGAAACATCCAATAGAGCCAAGTCCCTGATCTCCTCTAGCAGCTGGTATAAGCTTGGTCCCTTTGTCTGGCAGTACTGCCGATACTCTTCTTCAATCACTTCAACTCTTGCTTTTTCTTGAGTGTGCTGGGTAGTTTCTGCAGACTGGCTGACTTCTTTTACCAAATCAGATTTCACCACATTGAAATTCTTCTGGGAAACCTCCGTGGCTGAAGTCTGGTACGGTGCATTCTTGATTATTTCAAGCTTGATTGTGTCAGCATGGGAGCGGGACGTCTGCACAAGTATTTTCACCTTAAAAGCAATTCAACAATTATTGTATTTCTCATCATGCTACTTCCTTTTACTTTCTTCAGATTAAATACTCACTGTTATGTGATCGAAAAGACTTAATGTAACTGAATCTCCAGTGGTTGTAGTGGAAGTAATTTTGTTCTGAAACCGCTGAAGCGATCCAGGCTTCCACTCACAGCTTCTGTCACCTCGACAAGAGATGACTAAGCCTTCTTTGTTTTTCATATAAGCAGCACCTTTGATTCCGTATCTTCAAAAAAGCATGAACAGAATCTGTTAAGAATTTCCATCCCTTATCAGTTCTCTCACTAATTTTGAAACCAAAGGAGGACTAGTGAGGATTATAGGAAAGCAACAGAAAGGTACAACCAGGGTAGCTTGATAATCCTGCTTCAGAAGCACTTAATGTGTATTATCAAAAAAAGTAACCCTGCAGTATATATGAAAACAGCATGAGATGGTGAGTGAGGTTTTTCAAAAGCAGTGAAGCAGAAGTAAAATACAGTCAGTAATCCATTATCTGTAAGCCTGGAATGCCCAGATAATGGAAAAACAGCAGTGTTACGGGTTATTGGAACTGGTTCTCCGTTAAAAATGAGTTAAGGTTCAGCAGCATGAGGGGAGAGGAAAACAGAAAAGCAGTCTATGGTTTACAAAAAATAAAATAGCGTAATCAGTTAATATTTCCTTTCTTAAGGACCAGAGGTGTCCTTACAGCATTCCAGTAATACTTGTGTCTTATTTTTAAACAGCCCCAACTCTAATGAACTTACCTTGGTACAAAAACAAGCACGCCATTTGTTCGAATTGAGTAGATAACACCATCTGCTATGCAGCGCTCATCTGTTTCTGGGGTTTTGTCTTTGAAGTACATGCACTGGAAGAGTTCAGTAGACTGTTTCTGAGCATGCTGGGCTGCCTGGGAGCACCCCCACAAAAAGAGAAGAGAAAACAGCCTACATAAATAATAAGCTTGTTTGGTTTCAGTCTTTATATTCATTTTTCCATGACTTACTCTCCTATAATCCCCCAAAAAATACATGTGAAAGGAAATCCTATCTGTGGTAAAGGTGAGTCATTTTTAGTACTACTCTCAGAAGAAATGTGATAGTTAAGTTAAAAAATAGTAATAATAAAAAAATAAGTGATACTAGGGCAGTGTAGTATCCAAAAGCTGCAGTCAAGACTGGTATTCCTTTCCACTGGGCACCATACAAACACAGAGACACAGACGGTGACCATCTTACCCTGTTCCTGTTATTAATGTGTCTGCACAGTTCCTCAAGATCCTTATTGCTGAGTACTTTATCCTTAACATCTTTAGTTTCCTTCAGAGTGGCTGCCATCAAGAGTCTGTGGACAACTATATCAGCATATCTTCTAATTGGAGAAGTAAAATGAGTGTACTTATCTAGAGCGAGTCCTACAAACAAAAAAGGAAGCAGTGAAAATAAGTCAAAGCAATCAACTGCCTTTCTCCAACAGTTCAGAAATAACATAAATAGTATAAAAAATAAGGTGACAGGATACCGTAATGATGAAACTCCTCTTCAGAACAAGAGCCAGTTGAGAAGTACAATGCATTCGACATTGCATGAGTGGCCATACATCGCAACAGTTTGTTTACAAGTGGATCCAATGGATCATCTGCTTTATCCAGGGACTCAGCCAATGTTTTGTTAGACCTGTCAAAAAAGTGTTAATTCTGAGTAAAGTTACACTGCCCTGATCCTAATAGCCTACACTTAAACTCCTGCAACTTGGAGAACCAAGGACTCCAGCAAAACCTGCTTTTGTCCAGAATGAAACATGCTGAGCTGCTCACAAACCCCTTTGTACAGCAGAGCGCAGCTGATGGATGGAAGGGGGCTCCCAAACAAAATCACTGCTGATGGCCTTCATGCTCTGGGATCTATCGAAATGATACCTCGATGTGATGAGGCTTACAGCCTTCTCATCAGATCCCAACATACATGTTCATTCTGAATTATTTCAAATCTTTTAAAAGACTGTACTGTAATGATTACAAAGCCGAATAGTTAATAGCTTATCTCTAATTAAAGTGGTTAAGATAAGTAGCAAAAGGTACCGTGTGTCTATTGGGAAACCTTTGGCACTGGCACATTCTCGAAGTTCAGTAAAAAATTCCTGTCGTGGCGGAGGATGTTGACGCAGCAAAGCTTGATGAGGGAAGTTTTCTGAAATCTTTTTTGCCACCCAGTGGTTGGCAAGAATCATACATTCTGCTACAGTCTCATGCACCTCCAGTGGCTGCTTGGGGATGAGATCGTGAATGTTTTTTTTGTCATCCAGTTGCACTCGGATTTCTACCCCTTCTAGTTCTAGAGCACCACAGCTGTCCCGCTTAGCTCTAACGTGCCGTGCTATGTCAGTGAGTTTTGATATTGCCCAAACCAATTCATCCAATTTCTTCTTTCTAGTTCTTTCATCCAAGTCTTTCAGTTCTGGGATATCATCAACAACACTTGTGTCTCCATCTAATAATCCCTGTGCTACTTCGTAGACTAGCTTGTACGCAGACCGGATGATGGTTTTATTGTAGCAGACTCTCAGTATTTCATAGGACTCTCTTTCTAGTTCCCACAAGACGCTTACAGCATACCTTAAAGAAAAAAAATCACAATGCTATAAACAGTTCTGGTTAGCTTCACATTTCAAGCACATACAACTGCTCCAAATTTACACATTTCATACTGTGTTGATTTTTTTTTTTTACTGGAAATTTTTTTCTTCATGAAACAAACCTGTGTTCAGCAATACTGATAAATAACACACTTAGCTTTCAGTTTTGTGCATCACTTAATAAATGAGGACCAACTACATCAGCAGTATTTTCAATCTACCTGTTGGGCCAGAGTGCACCTAAGATAGAAAGCCAAATCTGTTTTAAAGCACTGATACACTGCAACAGGTACTTTTATTCATATATTTTATTAGCCAGCTGTATCCACTGTGATCATATCTGCACCCTGCATATCCTCATTTTCAGCCAGCGAACCTACCCTGTAAATTGTATATAAAAAAAAGCAGGGTAACAGGGTAACAACACATTTGAGAAACAGGAACACATATGCATTTTGGCAAGGTAAAGGATTACAAAGCAGTCGCCTTCCCTGAACACCATAGAAACAGAAGTTATTTTTAAACATACATTATTCTTTCAGTTGAAGACTTAGTAACAATGCAAAGCATGCACACAATTAATAAACAGAGAGACTGGTAGCAACAACTAAATTACTTGCAAAAATCTCTTTTGTCAGAAATATCACCAAATCTTACCTATCGACTCCACTAAGAAGAGAGCATATGTCAGCACTCAATACAGCGGGCAGCATATCGTAACGACGATCTGCCAAATAGTAAGTCGTTGCCCTGAAGAATAAAACACAGTCACTGTTCTTCTCACTGTGACTCATTGGTGTTTATCTGCCAAGCAGTTTGCAAAATAACTATGGCGTCAGCAGAACGTGACACACAGTATGATTTTAGAAGGCTGTTCTTAACGTTATTCTTACCCAACACACACATGCGGCACTGAAGGTAAATTATTCAAACGACTATTTGTATAAGCACAAGCCTAAGTTTGCCTTCCTCTGTATCTCCCACTTGCAATAAAGGCAGAGCTAGGTAGGACTGTACAAAATAAGCTCAGCTCAAAAGAGGTCATTTTAATGGCTATACAAATATCTTTGCTGGCCATTAAGTTTACATTTCTTTGTATCTACAGAAATACAATATTTCTTTGTATCTACAGAGAACAATACATTTCATAAAGCGATTCAGTGGTCTGAGTTCAAAACAGTGGTAATAACAGAAAAAAAGTATGGAATATAACATAAGGTTAAATATTAAAAACAAGAACTCTTCCAAAAGAATTAACAGAACTTCTCAATGTTTCTTCAGGATAGCACGTATGGAGGTTGGAAGTTTGCAATTTTTTAATTTTTAGAAAATACATTACCTTGCTCTTGCTTCAACATCAGTGTAAGAATTCGCTGCCACAAAGTAGGTTACGTCTGCAATGTGGACACCCAGCTCTAGATTGCCATTAGGCAGAGTTCTAACGGATAGCGCGTCATCAACATCCTCACAGCCTTTCGGGTCAATGCTGAATATCAAGTGTGTATCTCTCAAGTCGAGACGTTTTTTTTCCTCCTCTGGATTCACCTTCCATGGATTCTTTGAAGAACTCATGGGCATTTCGCTCATCTGTACAAAAACAGTGATGAACATACAGTTACATCTTTCCTATAAAATGAAGCCAACAAATCAAAATAAATTAGCTCTTGCTTTTGTAATCCATTGATAGTTCTGTGTTGGTGTACTTTTCCATCCCTGACAAATTTTTTCCTTGCATTTTCCAAGTCAGTCTACTACATTTACTTTCCAGAAAGTGTAAAAGAATATCTGAAAGAATGCTACATATATTATTATCAACTGATATTACTGTAGTGATATTGCAGCTCTGGCCAACATCAACACTGTACATTGTTTCTTACATTCTTTTTATTTTCTTCAATTAATTTTAGGTAAAAATCAAAAT